ATAGATATCTAAAATCCATTCATTTATTCATCAATTATCTTCTGCTTGTCCTGGGTTCTGGTTGTGGGAGCAGCAGCTTGAGCAGGGAGGCCTAGACATYGCTTTCTGCAGCCACCGCTTCCAGATCTTCTGGAAGGAATCCATGACGTTCCCAGGCCATCTGAGACATAGGRTGTGTCTCAGTTCATGGGTTGCAGCTGACGTGGGGCGCATTTTCTGGCTGCTTATGTCACTGCCCTGTGCCTAAGGATGTCCCAATTCATGGACACCACTCATTCGGCCGACAAAACCCCGTAAACATAGTCTGCGTCTGAGTATCCTACACGGCCGACGGTATCCCAGAATTCATTGCTCCATCAGCAAATTAAACAAAGAAACAAAGACAGCAGAGGGTTTATTTTTTTTTTGGGAGGGGTGGATTTTATGGCAGTGGTTTTTTTAATGACGGAGTTTGGAAATTTAGCACGGACCAAAAAATGTAAGTTTAGCAACTTAGCTGAAGAAAGTTTTGTTGCAATGAAATRTTTAATAAAATACAGTTACAAGTATACTTATAATGGAGCTAAACTCAAATTAATAATGCTATTTATTTATATATTTGTAACGTACATTTATTAAAACTGAATTTTATAAAGTTACATGTCGAAAAAACAACTGAAGCGATGTGATGGTAATGAGGCAGCGCATGGTCACACACTGTCTTCTGTGGACTAGACCATCTAATTTCACAACCATTTATGCAGCCAGCAYGAGCGGCCTATGGTCGACGTAGACTGTGGCTAATGTGGGCCACTGTCTATCGGTTGCAACTCATAAATCGAGACACAGCACCATAGTCTGTGTTTAGCATGCCATAGCTCTTACCTGAAGCTCTTGACCCAAGTTGGACATGCTCCGAAAACTTCCCAACCGTGCAGGGAGGTATCCTTATCAGATGCTGAACAACCTCAACTGGTTGCTCTCAGTCTAGAGGAACATCTGCTCTACTCAAAGTCTTTCCCAGATAACTGCAGAGAAAACTCATTTTGACTGCATGTTTTCTATATTTTCTTCTCTGGGTCACTACTCAGAATTTGTATGAATGTGCCTGGCTGACAAACAGCTTAYGTCTCAACCCATTTTTCACCACAACGTCCCGGTACAGAGTATGTAAYGCTGCGAAAGCTGTGTTAATCTTAYACCTCATGYTTTCCTCAGTTTTGAATGAAACACAGATATAGCTGAAGTCCTCCACCTGAGGCAGTCCCTCACTCCCRATCAGGAGAGGGCATTTCACCTTGTACTGACTGAGTTTCAYRGCCTCGGATTTAGCGGTGCTGATCTTCAAACCAGTTGCTTCACCCTTGACTGAAAACTGCTCCAGTTAAAGCTGCAGGTCACAGCATAATGATGCCACCAGGACCACATCATATGCGAAAAAAAAAACAACAGAATCTTGAGACCACCGGACCAGACCCCTTCCGCACTCTCTTCACACTGAGATATTCTTTCCATAAGTGTTATAAACAGTCGGTGACAATGGGTAGCCCTTCATTATGAAGACCTTCAACATAAACTAAAGATGTTTTCTTTTTCTTCCCACACACATATACATGCCATGCGTAAGTCTTCGTTTGGTATTTATTGTTATTTGTGACTCTCACCATGTTGAAAGTAATAAGGATTCCACTATTTTTTTTCAGTAGCTATTCTCATATCATTAAAAGAAAATAGAAAAAATAAAACCCCAGAAACACTCAGACTTTTTATCTTAAGAAAGCAGACATTATAAATGAACTGAGACAGCTGCAGTACTTTTTTAGACCAACACGCAAAACAGGAAACCTAATTAACAACAAAACCCCAATTTGATGAGCTTTCTTTGCCAAACTCAGCAGGCACTGCATCTGCAGCGTCGTGATGAATTGAGCATTGAAAATTCTGCTTTGCAGCAATGAAAAGAATTGCTGAATAGCAGCACTTGAAACTGTCTGCATCTCTACTTGTAAAATAATCATTTAACCCATWTTTATCAACGTAGTGTGGTCAAGATGCTCCTAACATTGAGGCTAGTGGTGTTGGTGGGAGGTGAAATAAGACTATACACATCTGGCAAAGTAGAATATTTTATTTAAAAAAAAACATTTTAAATATTTTTGTAGATGTTTTAATATTCACATCAGTACCTTTTTAAAATTAAAATAAATTAACACAAATTATTACACTAACAACATAGGTTCATAAAAAATTATTCTACCTGAGCGTCACCTCCCTTCTTTCTTTCTATTCATAAACGCACAGGACTGATGGAAAAATTGACACTGAGTTGAAATAAAACAAAATCTCTTAAATAATTTAAAATTATTCGTTAGAATGATCATTTTTGTGTGTGTTTAAAAGGCTTTCTTTTTAAATGCCCTCTACCTCTGTTCTATCTAATCACATTCAGTTTTCTTGCGGGGAAAARAGAAGGATGGGTTTTGTTAAACTAATGATGAGGAAAACATGGCATCCGGCAATRAGTTAGCCTACAGAAGCACCCAGGCAGAAATAACTGCTGTAGGACTCGGACGGCTTAATTTATGGGAAGCAGTTTGCATCACTGCTGACCTTTTACATACCAAACCTAAACTCACACATTTCCATTTAGGAGGACTAAAAGAAGAAACACACCTTTTAAAACATAACAAAGTGCAATAAAAAAAAGGCTTAAACACAGGTTGTCACATCAAGCTGCTCATCGTAAAGAATTGTTTTAATGGCAACAAAAAGCAAGCCCAAAACCTAGGGAGTTGTTTTAAGGCAGTGACAACCATGTGAACACATGTTTTTGTTTATTTTTCTTAAAGGGAATTTTCTATCTTTCAAAAAGTTTTGCTATAACTCAGAAAATGGAAACTTAAAGCTGGCCTAAAACACAACAGCACTGGCATTATTTAAAATATATATTTTTACATAAAATTCAAATTGATCATATTTTATAAACCTGCTGCTTAATGTTATGAATACAGATGAGTCTCTGAGGCAAGTGATAGCGGCATGCAAGTTATCAGTTTATAACCAGACAGCTTATTTAAAAGGAATCAAAGATAATGCAAAATTAAATTTAAAAAAAAAAAAAACTAAAAGTGTTTAAAAGTCAAGTGAAGCGCCTGAGGTTTGTATTAGTGCTGTTTATATTTTTGCAGCACCAGTGCCTTTTAATAAGGAATAACAAAATTTGAAGCCCTTTATGTTAAAAAGCCTCATCTGCTGCAGTATCAAAATTTGTTAAGCATAATGAGCGTAAGTAACAAGCTGAAAATGTTTAAAACATGAAGGGTTGTGCTCTTTTGAGAACTCTAAAAGGCTGAGCGGTGATTTGACTGATTTTGCCAGGTTGCCAGATTTCCTTCTGTCCATCCATCTTAAAGCACTCTGTGTAGTATTTGAAGCCACTGGCCCAGATCTGTCATACTTATTCACATTCTGTATTCCCTTTTGCCTCACTTACATTGGCAGTAGATGGGGCCATTCCCAGCTGGCCCAGTCCGAAACTGCCTACTGCTGAAAGACATCCCTGCAGTGAAAGCAGAGCGCTACCGACATGCCAGCTGTTCAGCTCCCATAATCACCTGATATAACCCAGCTAAACTTTAATGGTTTAAAAAACAACTTGAAATATTCCAGATTAAAGAGCTGATTGTTGTTAAAAAAAGTTAATTTTGAACTAATTTTGTAGAGTTAATTGCRTCCATGTGATTTTCCTGTTCCAAATTCAGATTTTGATATTTTGTCCCACATTTCTATAAAGGTTTTGTTCTCATTTCACTTGTGTTTTTCACACTTTCATTGAACATTCCTATAGCTCCGCACCACGGAATGTTTGTATCCTACAAGCTTTACATTATCAAAATGCAGCTCAGACTGCGGAAAATGTAGGCCAAAACTCTTCTGAATAACAACTAGGTTTCCAACTGTACATAATGACTACAGTTCCTTTGTAAATCAAGCCTTCCTCAACAAGTAACATAACTGAAAGTTGAGTTTTGGAAGTGTACACTGAAAAAGTTCATTTAAAATATTGGCAGTGTGTGTGTGTGGTGGGGTTGTTTTAGTTGCTGAATTTGTTATCACTTTATTTATTGTGAGGTAGAATCTTGTAATTGCCTAGAGCAGTGGTTCCCAAACTTTTTATCTTCTGACCCACAAAGTATCCATGGCAAAAACTTGTGACCCCAAATATTACTGGTCTGAGTACACGAACTTCATTAATAACCCTAAAAACACAGGTTTTTGACAATCTAAACAGCTTGTACACAAATATAAATACTTATTTATACTTATTTAGTGTTTTTGTAATAGTTATAGGGAAAATATTACATCAACAATTATTTTATTACCCTTTAAATTGATTTCTGGAGATTATCCAAGGTCCTTCATGACCCATAATTGGGTCCCAAGCCCAACTTTGGGAACCAAAGTGCAGTGGTTCCCAAACTTTTCAGCTTTTGACCCACAAAATAACAGTAGGAGAGACCTGCCCCCAACTATTTTTGGATGATAAACATTTGTATCAGGTCAACTAAACATGGGCATAGTAACAATATTTTTATACTACATTTATCCATTTTAAATACACTAACCTCACTCCTTTGTAMMAACTAAGGCAAAAATGTAATTAATTCWGAAAATCTTTTCAGGACCCCACCTTGATGTTTCGGGACCCCACTTTGGGTCCCGACCCCAACTTTGGGAAACACTGGCCTAGAGCTTAGACTGCTACATGTTGCTTTCAATATCCAGGCACAATGTTTCAGTGCACCCAGGTGGCTATACCAGGACATGTAGTTTGCATTTGCACATATTGAATTATGGTAGAAATTTTCCAGATGATTTCTATGGACTGTGACTATCTTCTCTGAATTACCTTCAGCTCTCTCTTACAATGGAATGCTCAGTTTTGGTGTGTTATGACTTTTTACACATTTCATTTGAGTTCAACTTCTTCCTAACCATTTATATGCTTCTGATCTCAACAGAGACCATGACAACTGCCACTTCCCCTATCCTGTTGAAATGGGACCCGAAGAATCTTGAAATCCGCACCTTGACTGTGGAAAGGCTTCTGGAGCCCCTGGTCACTCAGGTAAATCAGTAAATTCTTTAGTCACACTAAAGCCGAGTAGTAAAATACAACTGGGTGTCATTTTGAATACTGAGGCCAGGTAATATTTAAAACAGACAAAAAATATATCTTTTATTTTCAATTTTTTTATACTCAAACCTATTTACAATAATATATTTTTATATGACTTCAACTTGCAAATATTTGCATAACTGTCTTAGTTGTGGTTAATATGATTAAAAAAGCAGGTGCATGTATCAAAACACAGACCTGGGTCAGATTGGAAAACATGAGATTTGTTATGTTCTGACTGTCATAAAAATAATTTGATATGAGTTAAATATAGATAATAAAATGGATTTTGGTCACTTTTGCCTGCAGTGTGAACATAACACAAGTTGCAGTGGGAATGGTTGGAAAATTCCACTTCAAAATAAAACCCTCTCTTAAAAAAGAAAACAGGCAATGCAACCGTTTCTGTTTGGCATGTAGTTCTGCTTTTACTTCAAATTTTGCCATTTCTCAAGCTAAAAAGTATAAACTGAATCTATCCGTGTGTGTAAACTGAACAGAAATCAAGAAGCTGCTGATTATCAAACGCCCTGCAACTGTGAGTTCAGGTTACCATGGTAATGTTGGTGCAGCATCTTATCTGACTCATATTGAGAACTCACCAAAACCTTGTCTTGTACTGATGCTTTTGTTAAGAAAAATGCTTCAGTTTCCACTGACCAAATTTTGCAACTGTGACTGACACAAAACCTTTGTGCACATATCACCATGACATTTGTTTTCTGACTTTAAAAATGTTAACAACTAAATACATTTCTGAAGAACGCTTGCGGATAGGAGATAAATTGCCTTAAAAAAGCAAGAAAGAAGTTCAGTTGTTTATTTATGAAGCATTACGTATTCATGTCTGAGAATCAAAGCAAACATCCAAACAAGACAATTTAAAATATATAAAAAAATACAACTTTAGGTTAGCCTGAGATCAAACTACTAAAGCGTGCTTACTATTCTCTCAGTTGGTGATGGCTTAGAGTTGCGTTGTGTTGTTATTGTGCATTGCATCAGCCTCATTTGGTGTTGGTTCCTTATGAATGGTCATCAGAGTGATGGGTAGGTAATTGCTTTATGTCAAGGGATGGAAGGCTGATGAGCTTATTTTAAAGTGACTGTTATAAAATCCTCACATGGCAGTGCCTGACAGTCCTTACAGCTAACTGCATGTCTTGAATTAATTGTTTTATCCTATTGATATCTGAATTTCATTGATAGATTCATTCATTCGGTTTATGTAGTATTAATAAAGTGTGCTGACATGTTGCTTCTGTATAGGTTCATAATGTGCATTAACAGTATGTATGTACAGTATGTACTCATACTTGACTTTAAAATAAATGTTAATAACTTTACATTTTACTATGTGCTGTCCTATAACTGTGAAAAGGGCATTTTTTGTCTATGGAGGACAGGAACTGTCATAATTAGAAATAAAAGTAGAACTATAT